TACGAAGGCATCCTATGGTTGTTCTACTCATGATAGAGGAAGATTGTTTTATGCCATAGTGACTGAGATGAGATATTGAGACATGTGGTCCATTATCTCTGTGCTATTTATGCGCTAATAAATCTTGCAAAAGTTCTCGGTCGGATGTTATTTTGCAATGATTTGCTATCTAATAGCAGCGCTACTTCTACCAAATGTTGGAAGACTGTAGTTAAGAATATCTTTTGATATCTTAATAGCACAAGTGATCTTGGTATTTATTAGATCCCCAAATTTTAGATCGTTAAAAAGGCTTAATATACATGTGGAAAGACCATTTTGTGAAAGTCTTTATATAGACAGTAATGGTAATTTCCACCAATCATTCTGATATTGTATTTTATAAGGCTTCACATAAATGTGTATAGCTTGACAAGATGATATATTACATACTAAAGTTATGCGGTGTTGATTCTATTGAATTAATGGTCATTATCTATAAAGGTAATATAACTTGTGTTGTATAGATGGAGACAAGTTATACTTAATGTAATACTTTGCACTAAGATGGTTCTGTTCCATAGGTGATATGGACATATGAACATTTGCAAACTAAGTCATGTGATAATCTTGCAGAGATATTCACAAAATCTTATGTGTTGAGTGCATTGGTATGAATTTACTTCGAGGTTTGCTAATATCAGGGGGAGAGTCTCTCTGATTAATAACTTGTTACAAACATCAAATTATACTCTTTTCTTTGTACGAGTTTTCCTTTGGAGTTTCTCATATAAAGTTTTTAATAAGGCAATATCAACACAAGATTATGTCATATCATTCATTTTTTCTCCATAGGGGTTTTTGGTGGATGATATTGGAACATAAGATGCATTGTACTCTTTTCTTTACGTGAGTTTCCCTTTTGAGGTTTCTCATGTAAAGTTTTTGATGAGGCAATGTTCAACACAAAGGTATATGCTATATCATCGATTTTTCTCCACTGGGGTTTTTGGAAGATGATATTTGATGTATATTGACCATATGGTCAAGGTGTTTTTAGACTAAGACTTTGAGTTTATCTCAAAGAGTCTAATAACATTAGTGATTGTATATTATTGAGTTTCTCCTTATTTTTTTCACTGGATTTTAGGGAGTTTTGCCTGGTATACCGGTATTACTTTGGTTTTTTCCACAGGGTTTTTCAAAGATGCATAATAGATAAACAGTAAAGACTACAAGGAGCTAATTGATCAAGGGGGAGTGTTGAGAATTATAATTTAGTGCTCAATTAGGGATTAATCAAGAAGTGTCTTTTTACCCATCTCTCTTTTACATATGTAACTGTCCACATGAAGTCTGTATATATGTACACACTGATCATTTGCATCACTCGCTGGTCTCTCAGCTCTCTATTTTCTAACACTTTTGAGGAGTCCAAACTCCAAAGTGAAAGACGCATCAGTCCTTTTTAGTTTTGAAGAGCCAGAGTCCAAAAAGCATCTTAGTAAGCACGCCGAGGGGAAAAAAGAAGAAGAAAATAGACACGGAAAGGACATAGGATGTATGTACCGCCTGGAGTTTTCTTGTCGTGCTATGCTTTTGCTTTGAAAGATTTGATTTTTTGGCCATGAAAGAAAGCGTCTATCTACGCCAACTCCAAATTAAACAGAAAAGAAAGTGATTAATCAGCTGTGTAGTGCTAGAAAAGAAGCTGCGTGCACAGCTCACTCGAAAAGAACGCAACTCTCGTAAATGTGGACTCAGGTAGTCAAGTGTGATCAATGATTTACCTCCTAGTTATAAAAAAAAAGATTTACCACTTCGTTTTGATAATACTGCAAAGAAATTGAAAAGTGACGGTGATTAATTACTTTATCAAGGGGGCGTCTTTGTGATGAACTGAGCTCTGGCTGGCTTGTTATTTTGGAACTTGCCACTTGGATTTGGACATCTGACTCAGCATATGTGCGTGTGTTTTCCTGGAGTTATTTAAGCCGCATGTGGTTTACGATGGTTTCATTAATCTTAAAATCTATCTGCACAATCTACTCTAGCCGTTCATAATAAGTACGTTCATAAAATATGACTGTGAACCCATATGAACACTTACGTCTTTGGCACTGTTCGTTTTGCTGAAAAGTTATGGTTGAAAGTAATGTTCGCTGATTTGTTGTGAGAGAGAAACATTGTTCGTTCATTGAAATAGTACAGTTCATAAGACAAGCGAACATGGCCTTTATTATGTTTGTAAAACATAGTTCATAGCCTCAACTGTTTCTCAAACAATTTCTAGTTTTGATATACAAAACTAATTATTGCCAAACTACGACAGTATACAACATCTTGAGTCTAGGTTAATTCTCCGTACATTCAAAGCTAGTGCTTGAGCCAGATCGATTCTATTGGGGCCAACAATAATTGTAGTTATTAAACGGGGAAGTTATATTTTTAGAGACTGTTTGGTAGTACTCATGCAAGTTTCTTCGCAAGAATCATTCCTCCTAACCTACAGCCTGTTCAGTTGGTTGGTGGATCTCGTATACGATCGTAAGTTTCTAGCTAGAACAGTATTTTTTTTTCACATCAAACTAGCCAGCAGTAATAATTCATGATCCAGTCACAATCCTCCGGCCCAGCCGAACAGGCTGCTAAACAGCAAAAACTGTATAGATTCTACAGTAATAGAAATCAGATAAGAATCGCTTTTTCCTTTTCTTTTACGCTAGATTATTACGAATCGCTTTCCACTTACTCTCCACTTAAATCACTCAGCTAGAGGATTAAAGAGTAGAGATCTACCAAACAATTAATCTCAAGAAAAAAATCTTCGAAGGAAAAAGGAAATGGGGGAGAAGCTTAAAAATGGTCGGAAACGTGTGCGTTTTTTTTTACTGGTTGTGACAGACTGACAGTCCCCGTCGTACTCCCATGACATCACATCCCTGTGTGTTTCGGTGAAGCTAGCCACGTGCCACCGTGCAAGTTGAGCCGTGCGCAGATAGGCACACGTGTGACGCCCGGCTTGCAGCCTCTTCGGTTGGCTAGTTCGTTTCGTTACTGATTTATAAAGAAGTATTGTTGACTGATTTGTGTAAGAGAAAAATACTGTTCCGACTAAAAATTTATAATCATTTACGAAAAAAAACAGCCAAACGAACGTGCTGTTGGTCGCTGGAGTGAGTTGCCGCCGTAGCCGCAGCAGCAGCCAAGGAGAAGAGGCCCCGGCAGACCGGCATCCACGGCAGGAGGCCGTTGGGTTCTCACGTGCGTGCGCACTGAAGATAGATTCTTCAGCATAGCTGCAGGAGTAGAGCTTTTTACTTGAAGCAAAGATTCCTTAGACATTTATTTTCGTAGCTAGCCCACTCTCACTCTAGGTCAAATGCTATGGGCAAGTGTTTTTTTTTCTCCTACTAAGCTTTAGTCCCTATCATATCGAATGTTTAATACATATATAAAGTATTAAATGTAGACTAATTATAAAACTAAATGCACAGATTAAGACTAATTTACAAGACGAATTTTTTAAGCCTAATTAGTTCATGATTTGACAATGGTGATGTTCGCTGGTCTAGAGGAGACCAGCCAGCCGACTGGTTCCCCTCACGCGACACTGTTCATCAAACCAGCCAACAATATTTTTCTCTCACAACAAACCAACCGGAACAGTATTTTTCAGCCAAGTTTCAGACCAACGAACATGACCAATGTTGTGCTACAGTAAACATATATTAATGATAGATTAATTAGACTTAATAAATTCATCTCGCGAATTACTGAGGACTTCTATAATTTATTTTATTGTTACTATCCGAACACGTGATGTGACATCCCATGTGATATCTGATGTGACACCAACTTTAACCCCAGAATTCAAACTATGGCGCAGACACGGGGCACGGGCCCTTGGGATAGTTTTATGTTCCACCAATCGAGTCGTTCAGACAACCCCGTCCCAGGACATGCAGAGAGAACATGAACAGGCTGAGTCTTGCATGGTTCACTTGTGGCCGCTGCCAATATCTTTCCGAATGCCCAGCTCATGAATGACACAAATCACTATCAGTATGCTTTGAACAAAAAGCAGGTTGCTTTCAGCTTGTTTAAGAATGGGCTCGGTTCAAACTCAGACTCCAGTATCCACTTGCCAAAAGGCTAGGGCCTGTTCGATAGAGCTGGCCAAAGGCCTACTCGATAGAGCTCCCCTTTCTCCAAATTCTCTGAGGAAGTTGATACTGACAGAAGTGAATTTCAGACTGCAAAGTGTTTCTTTATGATTTTCTAGGATAAACTTATACATACAGTTACTCTGCGTGCAGTGAATTCATTTTGGAGAATCACTCACAAAATCAGTATACGATCACTTCTTAGTAAAAAAACTGTTTGACAAAACAACTCCTAAATTCAGCATGGAAGCTCCTCTGGGAGGTCCACCAAACAGGCCCTAACTAAAACATATTACGCTTACTTGAAAGTGGTTGGCATCATGAGAAGCAGATATTAAACCTTCTGAAACTCAAGGAGATAAGGATGTTCTGTTCTTCACGTAAACCAAACTGAGCTGCAGTTTATCTAATTCGTAACTGGGCAACCACGGAATACACACTCTCGATAATAGGGCTAAGACAACAAAAACGAAGGCTTCTCATGAGTACACAAACAGCGGGAATGAAAAGCTTAAAACAAATTAACTAAAACATGGCAAGGCTACATGGGAAAGGCACTTTGTTAGCAGGGGCCCGGATATTTTCAGTGTCTTGACCTGCTTCGGTACCTGCAGTATCATCGTTCTTTCAGCTGCTATCTAAAAGAGTAGAGTGGACTTACAATCTGAGCTGTAGTTAAACTAACGCTGATACTACCTTGGAGAGCGAGAGGGCGACCGGGAACTGGAGAGTGAGCGGGATCGGTACCTTCTTGGGCTTCTGCTCCTACTACGGCTTCTGCTATATCGCCGCCTTCTGCACCAGGAAATGGTGATATTTAGAAGATATAGAAGATGTTTATCAGACTAGTCAATACTAGGTGTTATCACCACGATCATAACTTTTTAAACAAATACTGTTTAACAGTTAATTGAACTTGATTTAATTATGAGTTAAAACCATAAGTCATGCATTGCATTGTGCTTACGTGGGCCCTATGTGAGTTGCCTCTTAGTGGATCTTTGATTTACGCACCTAGAATTATTTTCCTAGAACTACATAAACATATATGTATACATGCATATACATGTTTATATAAGTGGGTAATATAAGCATTTATGCTTTTGGTTATGGAAAAGGAGAAAGGAGTGGAGAAGACGCAGCCCAGTAGCCCGTCTCCCGGCCCTTTTCCTCCCTCACGCGGCCCGCCTTCACCATGGCTCGGCCCAGTCCCTTCCTCCCAGATGAAAATATGGTTTAGGGAGGAAAACAATCAAGCAACCACTTGCATAGCATTAGGGATGAAAATGACTTCTATTGAGGTCAACAAATCTGCATGCTTAGCATAATTCTCCAATGAAAAAGGAAAAAAACAAACTGAAATAACAAATATTAGTTTAATTACCTTGGTGGGGACCGGCTAAGACTTCTACTGCGGCTACGATGCCTGTATCGACCAACTTCAGCAAGTTTTTCCTGCCTTTGTCGTTCCTGTTCTCGTTTCTTAGCAATCTCAGCAGCTGTGTCCTTTTTAACTGTCAAAAAACATAAGCTTAGTATGCTTACATGCATAGGAGACTACTAGCACCAACCAAAATCTAATATGCAGATTGAATGTAACAATTAGCACATACTTTGCTTGTTAAGCTGTTTGCTCATTATCCTCTTAAGTCTTTCTTGTGGTGTTTCTTTCTTTTCAGTCTGGGGAGTTTTACCAGTTCCTCCAGAAGCACCCTTGCTTAGTTTAGCCAGTGCTGATGATGTACTGTTAACAGAAATCACATGTCAGTAATGATGAAAAATACAAGACAATTTTCCAGTAACAGAGATATGCTCAAGTCTGAGACGGCATATCATGCCCATGGAAAATAAAGTAAAGGGTTCTAGACAAACACAGGATATCAATCGCAAGCAACTCGGATGCACATACAGCCGCTCTCTTCATAACATTGTAATCGTCATGACAAACCTGGGGGGCGGTTTCAAAAGTTTTGCAGTTCTTTCCTGTTCCACAGACAAAGAAGACGCAGGATCACTGTGAAGTGCCTCAAGAATTTGACCACCTGACAACCTGCAAGGATATGGGGTATTATAGCCATAATAATTCACAAGGACCAATGATGCGCAGGTCATAAACTCCACAGCTGACTGTAGATCTATGCATGTTAAATCTTCTTCCTGCTTAGCAAAAATAAAAGGAACCATAAAATGCATGCCTATCTACAAAACAACTATTTTTTTACACCATAGATACCATCATGACCATGTCTTGATCTATCCTATTCCTGACATAGTCATCTTCAGAATACCAGGACTGATGTAATAAGCTCCATCAGAGAAAAGTTCGTCCAATGTATATTTGCAAATATTAAAAGTCGAGTTTCCCGACCGGTTAGGTATGTCAATTCGTATTGGAGACGAAGGCGGAGAGATCCCTGAAACTTTTGGTACACTGGTGTCATCAGAACCTCCAAATTCAGTAATATATTCAACCCTAGGAGCCTTCGGCTTGCTCCGATAATTGCTTTCAGCATGTATCCCACGGCCATGACGCCTAGAATGGGATGGTGAACGAGATCTTGATCTCGACCTTGATCTGTCAGCATGAAATATATATACAGAGATTAAGGAAAGCAGATACTTTTGTGAAAACAAAATTACAATGAACATGGAATGCACCTTCTGCCCCTTGAATATGCTTCATATGATGGGCTTCTCCTTTGCTCCCTATATTATTATATATATGGTGTCAGGCATCAGAAGTATAACCTTGTCATAAAAATGATTCCAGTTTGTCTTCTTTGTTAGAACTTCGAAGAATGATAAATAGCATTACCTATAAGGATCATGATAAGATACCCGTCCAACAGAACGTGCTGCCTCCCTCTCTTTTTCCCGCTCAATCTGAGAAGCTTTCCTTCTTTCTCTACGGCTCAATTTTTTCTGTACAATTTGATTATATTACTTCTTGCAAGAAGCAAAAAAGCAAGTAAATAGACAAATATTACATGCTATTAAGGCACGCACGATAGATGGGTCGCCTTTAACAATTTCTTTCTGCCGCTTCTCCTCTTCTTTGTTTTTTTTGTCCTTGTAAACAAGCCAGTTATATCTTTTTATCCCAAATTCCTTGGCTATACTTTCCATTCGCTCATCACTGCTATCATCACTACTGAAGTCCTTGTCATCATCCTCATCTTCTTCCTCTTCATCATCATCATCACTGTCTAGGTCTTCAGATTCCTCATTTCCTTCCCCTTTATATGAGTATCCAACCTGTGAATATGCACCTTTGCTAGCAGGAGGTTGTGAGGATTGAGGTCTACCAGAAACAAGAACAAACAATAACTAAGAGTGAAACCAGAAAAAAAAATGAAACACAGGATTTGATGAAAAATAAACTGTATCTCACAGAGAAGCAACGATACGAGTCATACCAAATGGTTAAAATCAATGTTCAAAAAAACGTTATTAAGCGTCGTTTAATCTAGCGCTAAACGTTGGCCCAGCGTTGCGTTTAGGGGGTAGACGCTCAATTAGACGCTGGGCGCGCCTAGGCGCTCGTTTACACGCGCGGCAGCGATTAAACGGCGCGGAATCGGTCAAAAAACGGAACTAGGCGGTGGAAAACGCACGGCTCGCGAGCAGGGAAGCGTGCGGCGCGCGGGCGGGGAGAGGGAAGGAATCGCGCGCGGCGCGCGCGGGAAAGAAGCGCGGGAGGGCGCGGAAAACAGCAGGCGGGCCCGACGCGGGAGCACAAATCGGCCGCAAGAAACAGTGTCGGGATTTGTCGCACTCCAGTCCCGCCTCCGCCTACCTCCCGCCTCCCGCCTGGTCGCTCCTCGCCGCCGTTGGTAGGGCCGTAGGGGTCGTCGCTGGGGCTCCCCTTCTCCTTGGCAGCCGCAGAGGCCGCAGGCGCAGGGGCCGTCGCCTGCAACAGAGGGCAGAACGCCGGCGCAGGACCAGGAGTCGACAACGGCAACGCAGAGGCCGGCCGGTGCAGGCCCAACCCCTCGCTCGTTCTCTCCAGGTGCCCCCTCGGTCTCTCCCCATCTTCCCATGCTCTGTAGTTTTGATTTCTGCATGTCAATCACTCAATTGATGAATTGGATTGGGGATTTAGGGTTAAGATTGAATGTGTACTGCCTGTCTGCCTCAATAACGTTTAATCACGTTTAAACTTCCTAAACTCTAAACCATAGGCTAGCGTTTGCCTAGCGTCTAGCGTTTTTTTGAACATTGGTTAAAATAAACATTCTAGGTATGCATAATGTTATGTACCCCATTATTTTAGTCTGGTTTACATCTGGAATATTCAGAACAGAGGGAAGATGAATAAATTGGTGTCTACTCAGGTATGAGCTGATTTGTGCACTTATTCGGTAGATTCAAGTATCCAACTAATGACCTGCTAGTTCAAAAAATCAGGAATGTCGAATTAAATGCTTTCATCTTGTTCAATTTGGCTGATGTCCACAAATGAGCTAGATTATTTGGAAAGTCTCTCCCTCTATCTTTCTCCTCTGTCCCCATACTAGCATCACTCTATTCCAACTTTTGTTAATGATTGTTTTCTTGGTCTTAGGTTAAACTTCTTTTGCTCATAAATTTAGAGTTAAGCTAGTCCAGGCAAATGTCAATGCATATGAGAGCTAATCATGCTAGGAACATAGCAAATCACAAGAGCGACAGACATTGGCAATGACATACACATCTGCATAAACAAGTGTCAAGTTTATCAGCTTTTGTAATTTAACTAAACATATCTTTTGTATTATTTTCAGATAAACATGAACACATAATAACGAGTAGGCTGTCTATGGCACAACGGCAGGACTAGATGAAAATATTTTTATCCTAATCAGTCCCTAAGGTTTAGAGTGCTGAAAATACAGGTAGCCACCTAAACCTGTAAGCGCAAGCCTCTTCTTTCTGTGCTTGTTGAGAGGAATATTGTTGGACAATTAATTTGTCAAATGCGGTGAAATGTGCCAACAGAAACAGCCCAAATTGAAAAACTCTGAAAAATATCTTCCTTTTAACAACCACCAAGATGTTTTCTAGTAGTCAATGACATACTAAATATGTACAAAGCATTGAAGATGATATTTATTAAGTTCAAGGATTCAAGCACTCTTTGACTGAATCGGCATAAAAAAAAGTTGATAAAACCAGTATGGTGTTTTTTTTTATCAGACTTTCATTATGATTATGCAAAAGCGTTAAACAGTTAAAAACATATCGGTAATACCCAGATACACTTGTGTTTAAGCAATTAATCCTCTTAAGAATGAAAATATTCTAGAAGAAATTTATAAGGCTATACAATTTACTCCAACAGAAATTTTCAATGATAAAAAATCATACAGTCCTCTAATATCAGTTGTCTGTGTAGTTTCCCTAGTCATACGATACTTTAATGTCTGTTATAAGTGTAGCTTCCCTGAGCAACAACAACCACAAAATATCTTGCAAACCTTTGAGTTTGATGAAGTACTTTACTCATTCAGAATCAGAACTTATACCAATGCATGAATGCAATTTTTATTATGTAGAGCAGCAAAGAGAAACTTGAGAGAGTGGAATCTGTCTGAACAACTGTCTTTAGAAAAGGGGTGTAAAACAATAGTGATCCATGTGCATAGTAACGACCTAGGAACAAGTTCCTTTTACTACTCTGTTGTCATTACTAGTACTGTACTCATATTTTATATCAATCCTATTGTAGGGTCAATCCTCTGACCTACCCCAAGTTGCTAGGGACTACCAGCTTTTGTGGTAGTGGTGGTGTCATTTGGTAGAGCAAAGAATTATTGCTCTCATTCCTTAACATTTCACAACAATGTTCTGTGTATAAATGTAACTATGTAAGTTGCAAGAGCAGGAGAGGAAATAGAGGACACAAAATTAAGAGCAAGCGTACTTGTCAAAGCTAAAAGGAAGAAGAGCTTTTGCCTCCAACTCTTGAACAACATGCTGCAAACCGGCCTCATCAGAAACTGCGAAGAGAAGTAAATGTTCAGTTAACTAGTGCTATGAATTGAGAAATAGCACCCTTTTTATGTACTAATTTAGGAACAAAGTGTGCATCAGGACAATCCCTTAAGTGATGTAAATGGATGCAAGACATGAAATTCCTACAGCAACAGCAATAGAACAGAGAAACCAAAAAGGTACCGACATCCTCTGCGACGATGCTTAATCAAATCCCGATAACGTTCAAAATTAACAAATTCCTCTAACTCTTCCTTTTCTTCAGATTTCTCTTGGACTCGAAAAAGACGAGAGAGCTCGAGTCTCGGATAAAATCAAGCAATGCACGGCCATCAAATCTGTTCATTGTAAAGATAATGGGTATTGATTTTCTTGTTCTTAGGATAATCTATCATGAACACAATAAATGATAGTTACCTGTCAATCAAAACATCTTGCTTTCCATTCCATGGTATCCTGCAAGAAGCATAGTGAATGAGTAGCAGCAATCAAGCGATGACAACAAGCCGTCATTTCCAATTTTCAGTAAACTGAATATTTTTACAAGAAAGAGATAATATCCATTTTTTGGAGATAACAGACTATGCTTCATCAGAGAAAATTGGCAATGCCATGGTTTTATCCGAGACTCAGCGCCCCAGACTCCATCATCAGTTATTACAGTAAACTTTCAACTCGCACAGGATAACCCACGAGACCAAATCCGGAACAGTGCCTCCGCTGCGACCAAGCATCGCACCGCGCCGAGAGAAGGAAAGATGGTGAGAGAGGGCGGGGCACGCACAATCCCTGCTGGTCCTCGGTGGCCTGGTACAGGGCGTCGTCGCGGTGGACGCGGCACCGCGTGCCGGAGACCTGGAGCGCCTGCTGCGGGTCGCCGCGGCGGCGAGCGAGGTAGGCGGCTCGGCGCTGCGCCCGGCGGCGGGCCGCGTCCATGAGGTCGTGGACCTTCCGCTCCGACCGCCGCGCCTCGTGCCACATCGCGCCTGCTCCTTCCGGAAGGCTGTGCTGGAAGCCGTGTGGGGCAGTGGGGGTCGCTTGCTGCGTGGAAACCTAACCCTAGGAAGGTGCTAGAAGCAACGGGGGAAGAGACCTGTGAGGAGAGGAGACGACGAGTGCCAAACTCCCAAACCCGTATACATGCCAAATGGACAGTCCGGCCTGGCCGGCTGGCCCCGTACGGGCCCGCTAAAGCACGGCTCACTAGGCTTGTCGTGCCATGCCGAGCCCGTCCATGGGCGGTGGCAACAGCCCAACCACGGCAGATAGGGAAGGTTCCCCAATAACTCTTTCTTTTTTTTATCATTAAAAAAACTCCATCTCCTCTAAAAAAAAAAGAGAGTTGCATCTCCCCCAATAGCTTGGGCTCCACAACTGACACTTCTTTTTCTCTCCTCACTATCCATACCAGACTACTATAGCTGCCGTCCTCCGAGCTGCTCGCAACCGCCGCCAACCGTAGGGGTTTGGAGTAGCGCAGATCCTCTTTGTAGAGCTTGGTGGTGGTGGTGAGAGCACTACCAAGCGTGCCAGCCTCTCCTCCGACGATGTCTCCACCCTCCGGTGATCTAGGCCTACCTCCTCAGACCCGCGCAACGAGGTATAGAGGGTTGTGCTTGTCGTCGTCGTTGTTACGAGCGATTGCATGTAGGCGTCGTTGGCACGCCATGGCTAGGAATTGGAGCTTTCAAGCGGCGGCCATGGCAGAATTGGATCTAAGCTCGCACCCGCTCGAGCTCGGTGGAAATGGTAGGTGGCGGGGCCAAAGGAGAGAAGGGGACGAAGAAGGGAAAGGGGGCCATGGCCGAGGGAGAGGGGATGGGGAAGAGGCAACATGGTTGGGCACCCGTGAAAAGGTCCTAATATGGCTAGAGGAGGGGTGAATAGCCTATTAAAAATTCTACGAAAACACTAAAGCAAATTGATTAGTATGACATGGCGCAATGCAGTTTTGCTCTAGATTTACAAGTGTTGCAAGCCACCTAACCCAACAAATCTAGTTACTATAATCACTAGCACACACAAGAGCTAAGTCTCTACTCACTAAATTAGTGTGCTCTCATGGACTAACCAAAGAGCCACACTAACCAAACTAACAAGCTCTCAAAGACTAGCTACACTAAAGAGCTTGACAACAAGTTTGCGAAAAAGTAGATGAGAGAGTAGGGTGATTATACCGCCGTATCGAGGGATAAATCAATCACAAGATGAATACCAATCAATCACCAGGAGAAATCCAAGAGACAAGTGGCACACCAATTTTCTCGCCGGCACGCTAGTCCTCGTTGTGTCGACCAACACTTGGTGGTTCAGTGGCTAATAGGTATCACACACCTAGCCCACAAGAGGCGCCGCAAGAACCTACCCACAAGTGAGGTAACTCAATAACAAAAGTAATTTACTAGAGCTACCTTGCGACTCTTCACCGGGGAAGGTGCAAGACCCCTCACAATCACCAGAGTCGGCCACAAACAATCACCAACACGTGTCGAAGCTCCTCCGCTGCTCTAAGCCGTCTAGGTGGCACCTGACTCATCAACTACGCACGCGGCCGTGAGTCAGGTGCCAGCATCCGGCCCTTGCTTGGTGCCCTCAGCCAGCACTTCACGCCACCAGCTATAATTGATTGGATGCTGCCTAGGGTCAGGTCCCACGTCTGGTGCAGCGTCCGGTCAGGGACCGACGCCGCCTTTTCTTTTTCTATCTCCTCAACCACTTTTCCCTTCCTTCCAACTTGCTAACCACAAAGTGTAAAAATTATGTGTACGTGTGTTAGCATTTTCAAAGCATTTTACATGGGTCAAAGTTAGCACACTAGGTTCCTAAATGCAATACATGAATCATATTACCTAGTGGCACTCGATAAACTGCTTAGCCAAATATTTCTCCTCTTTATAGTACGACTATCGATCCTAAATCACTCACACCTTCTATGGTGTCCTGAGTGCAAACAAAAATAGCTCATATTATTATACATTTGCCTTGAGCCTATTTTTGTTTTTCTCTTTCTTCCTTTCTAAATGTGAAACACTTGATCATCTCTTTTGTGGCCATCATCTTCACCATGGCCATCATCTAGCTTCAGCACTTGGGTTGGATCACCTTATCTAATTCATACACTTAGATCAAAGGTTAGTCCTAGGTTTCATCAATTAACCAAAATCAAACTAGGGCTTTCAATCTCCCCATTTTTTGTAATTGATGACAACCTTTTACAAAGATATTCAATGAAATTTTCTTGGATTCATGTTGCTTGTTCAAGCATATTACTATGTGTAAAGGTTATGGACAAGTTTCATAAACCCAATTTAGTAACATTAGCTCCCCCTACATATGTGCTAAGAGTTTGGATTTGAAAGCTTGCACATATGCATGGATTAGGAAGTGTGGGGAAGTAATGGCTACCAAATAATGCTAAGGTATAAAGAATGGACCTTTGAAGCGTGATACCAATCGGAGTTGCCATTTGAACACCATCCTTAATACCATGGTTTGCTAGATATCACTTGAAAACAAAAGACATTAGATATCTCATGAGATCAACATTAGAAATAAAGGCTCTAGCACCACTTGTAAAACCAATTCAAGTGTCTAGCTATCCTATGCATGCTAGTTTTTCATTACATCAACCATTTTCTACAATCTAGCATACGCCACACAAGCATGGATATGGAATTAAAACTTATGCAAGCAAACATATGTAATGCACATACAAATACAACATACAAGTTTATAAGGTTGCTCCCTCTACTTGTGTGCTTCAAGTTTTAATTGATCCCCTTCATTTCTCCTATCTTATCTTTATGTTACTTCTCTCCCTTTTGCAATATCTTTGGGAATTTCTCTCCCCCTTTGTCATCGATGACTACAAAAGGTGAGCTCAAATTTTAGATATGTTGTGTAAAACCATGTGAAGTAAGGATTATTTTCCTAAATTTGGTTCAATCTAGATTACTTGCAAAAGATATTTAACTCAGTTTGAACCAAGGACAAGCTTCTTCACACCTCCAAATAAGGGTTATCTTATACCATGCTGAGTTAAGCACTTATAGCTCATTTTCTAGATTAAACACTAGGTTCACAAGCTCACAAACAAGTCATATGCTACCACTAGATCATTTCAAGCATACAAGTAATAGTGGTACCATATAAGCATCAAATTCATTTAATTTTCATGAATAAACCTAAGACATGATAGGAATGGCTAAATGCACTAAACAAGTCCTTAGCAATGGATGAATGACATGCCATTCAACTTTACCTTGCTTTGCGCAAAGGAGAAGCATGTCATATAATGGGGCTGCATAAACACATATTTGAGAAGTCAAGTATGTTCAATTCATTCATTAGCTCGCAAAATATCTTCTCATCAAGTGGCTTGGTGAATATGTCGGCAAGTTGATCATCGGTGCCCACACTCTCAATGCAAATATCCCCTTTTTGTTGGTGATCTCTTATGAAATGATGGCGGACATCTATATGCTTTGTTCTTGAATATTGAACCGGGTTGTTGGTGAGCTTCACGACACTCTCATTGTCACATAGCAATGGCACTTGTTTGAATTTGATTCCAAAGTCACTCAAAGTAGCCTTCATCCAAAGTAATTGAGCACAACTACCGACTGAAATGTACTCCGCTTCGGTGGTTGAAAGTGCTACACTATTTTGCTTCTTTGATGACCAAGACACAAGTGATCTTCCCAATAATTGATATTTGACATGTGCCCGATGTGCTCTTTCTCTCAACTTTGCATCCCGCATAATCGGAGTCCGAATATCCAATCAACTCAAATGTAGCTCCTTTGGGATACCACAATCCAACATTTTGTGTATGCTTCAAGTACCTCAATATTCTCTTAGTTGCCTTCAAATGACTCTCTCTTGGTGAGGCTTGAAATCTAGCATGCATGCATACACTAAACATCACATCTAGCCTTAATGCGGTCACATAGTGTAGGCTTCCAATCATAGACCAATACATCTTTTGATCCACCATGTTGCCACTAGCATCACTGTCCAAGCTTTCATTTGTCCCCATTGGTGTACTAATAGCTTTGCTCTCATCCATGCCAAACTTCTTGAGCGTGTATTTGATGTACTTGCCTTGACTCACAAATGTGTCATTCTTTATTTGCTTGATTTGAAGACCAAGGAAGTAGCTAAGCTCTCCAATCATTGACACCTCAAATTCACTTGCCATCATCTTTCCAAACTCCTCACAAAAATCTTGATTGGTTGATCCAAAAATAATGTCATCAACATAGATTTGCAACACAAACAAGTCATTGCCTAACTTCTTGGTGAAGAGAGTGGTGTCAACCTTGCCCATCTTGAATCCCTTAGAGAGTAGAAAATCCCTTAATCTCTCATACCATGCTCTTGGTGCTTGCTTCAAGCCATACAAAGCCTTTCTCAACTTGTAGACATGGTTGGGTTTCTTCTCATCTTCAAAACCGGGAGGTTGCTCAATATATACAAGCTCATTAATATACCCATTGAGAAATATACTTTTCACATCCATTTGGTACAACTTGATGTTATGGGCACAAGCATAGGCTAACAAGATCCTTATTGCTTCCAATCTTGCAATTGGGGCATAAGTTTCTCCAAAGTCAAGATCTTCAACTTGTGTATATCCTTGAGCCACTAATCTTGCTTTGTTCCTTACAACTATTATATCTTGATCTTGCTTATTTTGAAAGACCCATTTAGTTCTAATCACATTATGATCCTTAGGCCTCTCAACTAACTCTCATACTTGATTTCTTGTGAAGTTATTTAGCTCTTCATGCATAGCATTCACCCAATCAACATCCAACAAAGCTTCATCTATCTTCTTAGGTTCAATGGATGACACAGATGAAAAGTGTTCATAAAATGATACCAATCTTGATCTTGTTTGTACACCAATTGAGATATCACCAATGATAGAATCCAAAGGATGATCTCTTGCAACATTGGTTGGTTGAAGTACTTGAACT